AATGTAATGGCCTGTATATATATATATATATATATATATATATATATATATATATATATATATATATATATATACACACAATTTTTTGTTGCTTTTTCCATCAATATAACATGCAATATAATTCAGCACATAACTTTCAAATGAGAAATACAAAAAACAGTACAAGAATGAGAGCGTCATCCACTTAATTACTACATAGACATTTTACAGTGATTACTTTCTATTTACTTTACCTTCTTTACCTTCATAATGTCAATGGCTAATGTAGTCAATATCTTTGAGTCAGTCCGAGATAGCCAGACTAATGTTGCACTATATACTATACTGTAGGATACATCAGCGTATATATCGATTTTCTTGGTAAGTAGATCCACTGACTGTGAAATTACCAGTGAAACATCTTCCCACAGCTGGTAAACTGCTAGTTTTTGTTGCAAAATTCTACACATTTTACTGTGTCTCGATGGAAGTGGGGGGTACCAGTATGGTAGACGGAGGCTTCACATTTTTCAGGGACTCCAGTGAAATCCAGTGAATAAATACAGATCAGTGGTCCAACTTCACACATTAGTTTTTTCAAAGAAAACTTTATTTAACTACTGTACATAACATCAGGTACCAGTACAGAAAGGCATAAACAGCATTCACAGAAAGTTTATAAAGCGTATGCTAATATAGAAGAAAACCAAAGATAAAAGAGGGAAAATTAATAAAATAATAAATGTTTAACATTGTATTATACATAAAATCAAGAACAGAGCATCAAACCAGCAGATTAAATTTACTCACAAAAGCAAGAAAATTACCAGAACATTTGGTTCTTGTATATATTCTAAAGATTTTACATGGACCAGATTATAGGAATGTGGAGTTTGAGAAAACAGATATGCCTCAATAATGAGCATATGAGCTCTGATTGGCTTCTTGTACCAGAAACAAATCCAAATTGGAAATACAGTCTTCTAAAAAAAAAAAAAAGACAAGTGATCTAACTGTGATCTGTCAATGACTGATCCCCCACTAAATTGACTCTCTTCCTTGAGTGAGTTCTCATGTGCCGAACCAAATCACTCCTCTGTATGAAGGATTTTTTGCACATTCCACAGTGGTATGTCTTCTCCCCGGTGTGGGTTTTCATGTGTCTGGCCATACTGCTAAATTCACTGAAAAATTTACCACACACCTCACATGATGACAACCGCTCACGGGTGTGAGATTTTAGGTGACGCTTCAAATAACTGCTCTGTCTAAAAGCCTTGTCACAAAAATCACAATTGTATGGTTTCTCTCCAGTATGAATTTTCATGTGCATAGTCAACTTATAGTGTTGTTTAAAACCTTTTCCACAGGTCAAACAGGAGAAAGGCTTCTCCCCTGTGTGAGAGAATAAATGGCAGACCAAATCGCTGCGCTTTCTAAAACATTTATTACACATATGACAGTGATGTGGTTTCTCACCTGTGTGAGTTTTCATGTGACGTGCCAAATCACTTCTCTGTCTGAAAGATTTCTCACATTGTTCACAGGGATAAGGTTTTTCTCCTGTGTGGGTTCTCACATGATACTGAAGAGTGGTTTTCTGGATAAAACTTTTACCGCAGACAGGACATGGGAAGGGTCTCTCTAAGGCGTGAGTTCTGCTGTGGGCTGTTAGGTCAGGCTGCCTGGGGAAACCTTTCCCACAAGTCAGACATAAAAATGGTTTCTCACGTGCATGAGTTTTCATGTGAGATATCAAGTCCCTGTACCGAGTAAAATATTGACCACACACTTCACAAGTAGTCAGCTGGATTTTATCACCTTCTTGTTCTGAGTGCTCCACATTGTTTCTGTGGCTCCTGCTGTCCTGATATCTCCTTTCAAGATGCTGATCTCCAGCTCTACTTGATCTGGAGTCATTCTGGTTGCTGACTTGTTGACATCTCCTCTCATTTTCATTCTGAACTCTGCAAAGTTCCTCCTGGTCTTCTTTAATCCGTCCAGGTTCTGGATCTTCTTTGATCCATCCAGGTTCTGGTCCATCTTTAATTTGTTGACATTCTGGGTCACCTTTAATCTGTCCAGGTTCTGGTTCTTCTTTAATCTGTCCATGTTCTGGTTCTTCTTTAATCCATCCAGGTTCTGGCTCTCCTTTCATCTTTCCAGGTTCTGGTTCTTCTTTAATTCGTCCATGTTCTGGTTCTTCTTTAATCTGTCCAGGTTCTGGTTCTTCTTTAATATCTCCAGGTTCTGGTCCTTCTGTAATATGTCCAGGTTCTGGTTCTTCTTTAATCTGTCCAGGTTCTGGTTCTTTTTTAATATCTCCAGGTTCTGGTCCTTCTGTAATATGTCCAGGTTCTGGTAAACTGCGGAGCAATTTCTCATGGGTCTCCATCTGGACCAGAAGCTGCCCCTCATCTTTTAAAACCCATAGTTCTATCAGCTCTTCTTTGATTGGCTGAGCTTCTGATCCAACGGTTGCTTCTGTTATCTGCTGCGGTTCTGGTTCCAATTTGATCCATTCAGGTTCCGGTTCTTTTGGTCCGTCCGTCTCCGAGACCTTCAGCAGTTCTGGTTTTAGTTTCATTTCTGTGGTATTCTGCTTTATTCTGATTGAGAACGAAGGTCCAGCCTTTTACAAGGAAGGGCTAAGCCAGAACCTGCAAGTAGAAAAGAAGAGATGATGCCATGTAAAGCTTTTTGGGAACAGGGAACACTGGAACAGGATTCCTATCTAACGTGAGCTGAAGACCATCTGCTACTGGGATAGGGAGGAGTTTTTTCACTGGTTTATAACACATACATAGAAAAAAAAAAAACAAATAACAAAAGATAGCTCCATAACCTTCGTTTAAACCATCACCCCAATTTCAAGCATATTGAAGAATGACACATTGTATGGTTGAAAAGTTGTGCAAAGTAATGACGTGTTATTTGCTGAGAAATTAGCAAAATTAGGCTACGTTTACACTGCAGGCCTTAATGCTCAATTACGATTTTTTTGTGAAATCCGATTTTTTTTTGCCTTGATATTTATATTTCCAAATATATACGACTTGTATATGATCTTCTGTGTAAACTGCAGTCATACAACGCAAGTGTCTCGCATGCGCAGTAGAGGACACAATGACGTCACAGGCCAACATGCTCTTTTTTTCCGGAAGTAAACATGGCTGCTAGTGCCGGCGCACATCTAGCGGTCTTTTCCAACCATAAAAACAATCTTTTCAATATGTTTAGACATAATACTGCTCTCCGCATCATCTGCCATAGTTGTTGTTTTTCTTGCCGCTTCTGCGTAGCAAGACGCAGAATAGTGACCTTTGTTGGGTATTGATGAAACGGATAAATCCGACCTGGCCGTTCAGACAAAGGTCGCATTTGAAAAAATCAGATTCATATCGGATTCAGGACCTCAGAGCCAAGTTGCCTGGGTTGCATTGGGAAATAAATCGATCTGTGTTGTTCAGACAGCCATGAAAAGGTCAGATCTAGGTTGCATATGGGCAAAAAAATTTGGGTCGCTTCAGGCTGCAGTGTGAACGCAGCCTTAGTGAAATTAGTGAATGAACAATGTGCTCACTGTCCTTGATTATATGTCCTGTTTGCGTCTTTGATCATATGTCCGATGCAAGTACTTTGAACATTTACTTTAAAAATGAAGAAATACAACTTAGGATATTACAATAGAAAGGTTCCAAGAGTTTATATCATATAGTACAGTGATTCAACAGCTCTGTACATTTTCAAACTACAAGTAGTGAATGTGAATGATTGTGATCTATTTTGTGACCTAATAAACAGTTTTACTTTATGTTATTATAAAATGATCACCTGACTCCAGTTCGTCTATGTAACTGACTTGAGTGGGCAAATGCTCACATTCAATGGAGTCTGGCAGGTTGGAAAGGTATTCTCTTCATGGATATATCCCAGTTTACACTGTTCAGGGCAAATGGGAGACAGTGTGTGTGGTGCCATGTGGATGAGCAGTTTTCTAATGTCAATGTTGTGGATTGAGTGGCCCATGGTGGCTGTGGGTTATGCGGTTGGCAGGCGTCTGTTATGGATGAAGAACACAGATGCAATTTATTGATGGTATTTTGAATGCAAATAGATACCATGACAAGATCCTGAGGCCCATTGTTGTGCCATACATCCAAAAACATCACCTCATGTTGCAGCAGAATAATGCACGGCCCCATGTTGTGTGGATCTGGACACAATTCTTGAAAGCCGAAAAAATCCCAGTTGTTGCATGTCCGGCACGCTCACAGGAAACGTAAGCCATTGAGCATGTTTGGGATAAGCGTATACAACAGGTTGTACCAGTTTCTGACAATATCCAGCAACTCCGACAGCCATTGTTTTAGTCACCACCCCACCAGTAAAACAAAACTGCACCTTCAGAGTGGCCTTTTATTGTGGGCAGTCTAAGCCACACCTATGCACTAATCAAGGTGTCTAATCAGCATCTTGAGAATTGCTCACTATCAAAGATTTAGACTCTTTAGAAACAACTTTTGAGGTAAACAGTTATACTGCGTACGTGGAAAAAGTTTCAGATCTTTGAGTTAATCTCATGAAAATGGGAGCAAAAACCAAAAGTGTTCCGTTTATATTTTTGTTGAGTTTATTTTGGTGAGTCTCCTCTCTGTCCCTTTGTTCCTCTGCTGTCTGTTCCTCACAAGCTGACAGACAGATGCGCGTACAAAGAGCATACCCCCA